GAACCCCTCAGGTTGCTGCAGGCTGCAGGCTGCAGGCTGCAGGGTGGAGCTGAATCACCTACTACCATCCACAAAATGAAGAAGAGTGTACAGAGTTCTAGAGAGGGTCTGGAACAGCCCTCCTTCCTTCCCCAGCTCCTGACCCTCCTCTCTGCCCCCATGAGAGTATGCCTATCCGTTCAACACACACGCATTCACACACAGAGGCTGGTGAGTGACCTACCTGTTCACACACACACACACACACACACACACACACACACACACACACACACACACACGATGAGTGAAGCCAAGAAGCTTGGGCTTTGAAGAAGGCAGTATGGGAACAGAATGCAGCTAGCGCTTTATTGGACTGAGTCAGCTAGAAGAGGGGGTCTTTTTTGCAATTTGCCTATCAGGCAAGCCCACCGTTCTCTAATTTGCCGAAGGGCATCATTTTACTGGCTACCGCCATATTAACACACACTTCACCTCTCACCACTTAAAACCCAAGCAATGAGAATGAACTTTGAATCGTCTTCTGTCTCATATAAGAAAGCTCCCAGAATGCACAGCACTCCCCTAAAAGCTGAAGGAAGAGCTGTGCCTCCAATCTCAATGGGGCAGGGGCTTACATTTCATAATGGACTGTCCCCAGCAAACCTCAAAACAGAGCTCCCCACCCCCACTCCAGGAATGAAAACGGGCTTCAGAAAAGCTGTCTCCATTCTCCTTCGCAGCAGTGTGCAATACGCAGCATTAAAATCTGTTCATGAGATGCCAGATAGCTGGTCAATTCATTAGAAATGCAGTTATTCACACAGACCTCTGGGCTTCACACAATGCCAGTCATCAGCCTGACAAACTTGACCAAATGGATTCAGTACTTTTTTGGTCATGAAGCCCTGGTCCATAATAGCAGGGTGGTAAGAGACAGGGGGAAAAAAAGAGAAAATGATAAAAGGGATTTTGAAAGCAAGTAATAAATACTATTGTCATTAGATTCTTAGGCTTGGCTCTGGATGCTTGGATTAAAGCCGCCTTTTTCCTTTTTAAAAATCAGAGTGGGGAGTCCTCAGAGCACAAGCCCCCACCCGACGGCCCCTGCGTCTTCCCAGCAGGTCAGTCCCCTCCCACCGTATCCTGGGTCAGTGCTAACTTAAGGAGGCCGCTGAGAACATGTCAGAAAAGGAGGACACAACCAAAGCGGTGAAAATTAGAGTCCTCCGAGAGGAGCCTCGGAATAATGCAACCAAATTCATTCACCAGAGAGTTCTTTAAGTGCCTCTCAAACGGCACCCATCACACAGGCTAGCCTCCGCGCCTTTGCTGGGAGCACAATAGGTACCAGATGAGTCACAGGCACCTTGGATTTTTAGTTTGCATCTAAATAAGCACTTTATATTTGCAAAGGGCTTCCCAGTCATTTGCAAAAAAGCTTTCTCCTTCAACAACTCCACCAGGGGAGTCCACGGAACTAAAGATTTATTGAGCCCCCTGTCTGCCCGAATGAAAGGTGCTGAAGGGCAGCCCTCGGAGCTCCGCGCTCATTAAACCCAGGCAGGGAGTGAGAGTCCGGCCCTCCCACCCAGGCCAGGCGTCTCTCGGCTCCAGCAGTCACTGTGAGGCACCCTCATCAGTTCCACCTGCACCCCCACTTGAGGATCGAGATAGCTTTCGCGGGGGGGGGGGGGGACCGCCATGATATTAAGACCTCGATAAACAATCATCCATACCGGCTGAGAATCGGAAGGTGCTCCACGTATGCAGAAATGTCCTGCTCCGCTCATCAGAGGTCCCAACCTAGACCCTGTTCTCCCCCGCTTCCCCAGAGTACTATCGAAAACGGAAAAAAAAAAAAAAAAAAAAAAAAAAATAGGCCCCGTTGTTAACACAAGGTAGGAAAGGGCACCTAGGTCAGGCCAGCAGCTCCCTCTAAAAGTGTAATTTCCTATGTTCTCAATGCCTTGGTTATCCTATTTGCGTGGGTCTAGAGGCAACAAAAAACAGAATTAGCAACCGTTTATAACAGTCCAGCAAAGTAGGGACATTGTCCCATCACACATGCGTGCATGTGTGTGTGAGTACGTGTGTATACAGAGAGAGAGAGAGAGAGAGAGAGAGAGAGACAGACAGACAGACAGACAGACAGACAGACAGACAGACAGACTAGAATCACAAAGTCGTCAGGTAATAGATGAATGAGAACAAAAAAATTTAATTTGGCATCTTCTTTTCCCAGCACTGGGAATGGAACCCACCGCTTTGAACAAGCCGGGCTCGCTCTCTACCACAGAGCATCACCTCCAAGTCTTCAGTTCTCTGAAACAGGGTTATAATACCTAGCAAAGGCTACCGACAAGTTCGGCCTTCTCCTGCCTCTCCCTTAACCCCCCGAATGCTGACATCACAGGCTTGTGGCACCAAGCCTGTCCAGTTCATTTCTCCCACAGCAAACGGCCTTGGAGCCTTACTCTGGGTCCCCAGCTTCAAGTCCCGTAACTGAGCGACTTTAGTCACCCTTCCAGGCTGTTCCGGTTCTCTTTATCTGTTTGATTGGAGACATCAGCAAACCAAGTCAGCACTTCAATTGACAGTGGCCCACCCAAGAACTAAATGCTCCACACTTGTCTGATAGATAAATAAATTTAATATGCCCTGCCTGACAATCAGGAGAAAGGGAATGACGATCATAAAACTTAATCCACACAGACATGAACAATCACGGGTCTCTTAGGCTAGCATAATAATGATGGCAATAACGATAAGAACCGCCTTTCGAATTTTAAATTGTACTTAAAAACAAAAAAACTTCACAAATGTGATCTCATTCGGTAACTGTGAACAGTCCTATTGGTCAGGTAAACCCTTTCTGTACGGATGAGAAAATGGAGACAGATAACTCCAGCCACCGGCCGCTGTCAAGCTGCAGAGCTGGATGGATTTCAGACCCGGGTCCCCCTGCCCTGCCGTGAGCCTCGGGGCTTTACCGCGGTGCACACTGCCTGCCTTGGGGTCAGCTGAGTAGCCCACAGGAGAAAGGGCCGGGAGAGGTAGATTCTGAAACACAAAGGAGGGAGGGGACGGGGATATCCCAGGGGGAGGTGGCCCTGGTCAGACTTCTCCCACCATCCAAGCCAGGCCATGCTTTTGCTTTGGCCTCCGCTTGCCTGCGGTTGGCCTTCAAGAATCGCTCTGAGGGGAAACCAGAGGCTAAGCAGTCTCCCTGGGTGGGAATGCAGGGTCCTCGCAGGGCTCCAGGAATGAGGGGGAGCGGTTTTCCCCGCTCTGCCTTCCCACAGAGCCTGGAGAGCCCCCAGGTGAGCCGTGAACTTCTCACCCCGGCGGAGCTGGCGAAGTTCTTGCTGCATTTTGGCGCCCTCCAATGGTGGATTCTGGAACAGAATCCTGGAGCTCTCAGCCACCCACCTACAACATGCTGGGGGGCCTCATTTATTCTAACGGCTTAATCGTTTAAAAAGAAGGGAAAGGGTGTAATGTGACAGTGGAATATTGTAGTCTTGTCTCTCATTTCTTACCCAAGTGAAAAAGAAGCTTTGACAGAATTCTCCCTAATGCAGAGTTTCTCAGACTTGTCTCATAAGATACATAAGATGTTAAAAATACATGTTTCTGGGTTGCACTTTTAGAAGTACCTGAGCGAAGCCACTAGGGGCATAGCCTAGGAACGTGCATTTTAACAGCACCCCCCCACACACACACACACACACATACACACACACACACTTCCCCAAACCCTTCACTTTCTCCACACCCCGATACACTGACAATTAGCGGAATCAAGCTACTTGGGGGAATTTCTGTTTCTGGGCATCCAATCTGCTCTCCATGTGTGAACCAGTCTGACTTTCATACCCCAAACCCTTGCTTCCCGGCAGGACATGTGCCCTTGAGAGGGAATGAGGCCCTTATTAAAGGCACTGGCCCAGGAGATACGAGATCCGGCTGGTCAAGGACCTCTCCATTGCAAAACTTTGGGTCCATCCTGACTTCCCTGAAGCTACGATCCCGCTCGTATAAACAGAGCCATGTTCCGTATACTCTCTGGCTCACGGAAATAATGGAGCCCCCGCATCTGATGAGCATGAAAGCATGATTAAGACAGCATGCAGCCCCCAGTAATGTGCCACACCCACGCTGGTGAGAACTGATTGGCAGTGTCCTGGGAATTTTTTCAGTTGGTTATCGAACCTTTGATGGTGGCTTGGCATGGACAGTGATGGGAGCATTTACACCCCAGAAATGGATGAATGTTACAAATTGTGTGTGTGTGTGTGTGTGTGTGTGTGTGTGTGTGTGTGTGTGTGTGTGTGTGTTTG